CCCCAAAACCCCAAAACCCCTTCTGTAAAGATTTGTGTTAAATTGAGAAAAGTATTTATTAAATCTTCACTCTTTATTAAATGAACAAATTAATAAGGATTATTAAATTAAGAAGATTAATGATGTCTACCTTTAATAAAATTGGCTAATTAAACTTAAGATTTCTAAAGGAAACTTAACTGCTATTTCTCATAGTATTAATTCAATATTTGAATCTATAATCATTGGGTTTTCATGATGATATTTGCTTGTAACATGCTTTCCCAATATATCTAGGGGGTCTAAAAGATAAGATATGAAGAATTGAATTATGTTAAGAAAATTTAATGATTAAACTCTTATTCTATCAATGAGCATTGATGACTAAACTTAATAAATAGTAATAGCAGGAATTAACTATGACTGTGGAGTTGCAAAATGCAACTCTTAAACGGGTTATCCATTCGTTGCATTTATTGAAGAGGGAAATGTTTATAGGTGGGCATATGTCTTTCCATATGATTCAGTTAAGTTTGATAAAGTCATTTTTTCAAAAGATAAAGCTAATGTAATAGCAATAAGTGGGTAGAAACCTCATACAATAATTACACTCAATGTAGCTGATGGAAGTGTATAATCCATCATATAATCCTCCCTAGACGATAGCATTGTTAATTTTATACGAGACATCTATTATGGAAGATTCAAAAATGAGATAGATTATTTCGGGATTGCTATTCAAACATTTGATGAACTCTTTATGTTAACTATATTAAAGTAGAATACTTGGAGTTAGATTAATGTGATGTCATTATAACGAGGCTAAGCTCGATTGCTTGCCTAAAGTAGCAATGCTAAAAGCTTTTATGTGGTTGGATAGCAATATGATGATGCAAGTTAATAAACTCAATCTTCATTTTCAATTATTTCTCCAGAAGGTGTACTTGAAGGGAATTATATTATTTTTGCATCAGGATCAGCCTAAAAGCTGGTTTTGATTACTCATATTTATGTAACTTAAAAGAAATAGTTAGCTATTGATTCAATATATGGAATAATATGTTATGATTGTTTAGAAAAACACCCAGTTTATATAATCTTTTAAATAGAAGTTGACTTAGGAAATATCTATCAAGTAGCAGAATCGTCAATTTTTTAATGAATAGAGATTTAGAATATAAAGGAGATTGTATAAATTCAAGGTTCAGGGGATACAATATATATAACTTTAATCTTGGATGATAATATATGTTATCATCTCAACATAGATATATAGACAGGAAAAGGCACTTAAATGAGCTTTTAAATATCCCAGTAGAGTAAATCCTTTATTACCTCAGCTGGAATTTCTTCTAAATACGGTGTGATAATAGCAGGTTATACAAGTTCAAGCGATCAAGGACAGGATTTAAACTTTTAAAAAAATGTAAGCTTCATCACTAATTCAGAAGGAAAATATAGATGTAGAGGAAATACAGAGACTAGTATTTAAAAATTGTTGTCTTATCCTGTGATTTTTGAAGTTTAAGAAGCAGTTTTTAGCAGTGCAATTCCAATTCTCACTTCAATTGTTTTTAATTCTCTTACTCCTTCTCCGCAAATAAAAATGACAACTACACTAATTAAAACGAGCTGTAGTGCTTTAAACTATTACGAAATGTATCCTAGATTAAATTGGTCTGTAGATGCGCTTATTGGATTAAATTAACTATTAAATTTTACCAACTTTTCAAGTAATTGCGATGAGATTTTTGTAGATACAACTGTTAGTATTGAAATTAGCTAAAATATCAAAGGTTTGGCTGATTCTGTAATTCTAACAGTTGATTATACTAATTTATACTTTAAAATTTTACTAAGAGATAGATAATATTCAGGCTAAAAGCTCATAGTATAAGTTAAAGGTATTATTAATCAATCTTGGTAAAGCTAATTCTATTTTTTCTAAATTAATCTAAAGTAAGATTAGTGCGAGTTGATAACAATAGATGGCCACGCATTTTAAAATGTGACTTTCTATTTTTAGAGTGGAGATGGTTTTATTTTGTAGAATTTGGACTGGTAAAAATTACCAGCAGATGTTAATTGCAACTTCACCTACGATTTTATTGTTCAAAAATTACCATTAGATCCTTCAAGTTAAACCAAAACCAATTTCAATTATGTTAAATAATTGGGGAATACTCTTACTTCCTATAAAATACCAGAATAAGTTGAAAGCTATCAAATTACTGTTAATGCATTGGTCTATAATTCTACTTTAAAAAGAACTGAAGTGAAGTTTCGAGAAAATTTCACACTAAATGTATAAGATCATTGTCTGGAAAATTCCTGTGTACTTCCAGATAACTTTCAAAATTCTTATACTATTAAGCTATTTGAGCATAGATAGATAAGTAATAATTGGAAATTAAAGTATGAAGAATGTCAAATAAAGCCTTATATATCAAACAATTACTAAATTGGAAACATTGAATTTAATCAATACAATAAACAAACCAACTACGTTATAATATCACCTGAAAGTATAAATCATATAGGGTTGTGGAGTTTCAAAATAGGCTGCTAAACTAGTTCTGAGGAAGTCGAATATATATCTGATATTTAAGAAGTGTAGATTGAGGTTATACCACAAAAATTCTAGTATTTTATTGATGAAA